CAAAGAAGGAGCTTGGTTTATTAGATTATTGTTGAACAAAGCACAAATTGTGATGGTGTCTTTTTATTTTTAGATGTAACTTATTTTAACCATTTGAAAAATAAATGTCATGGACAGCAAAAGATCACACATGAACTGTCAATTTTTTTTTAAGTAATCATGATGCTTACAAAAGAATCCTAACATAAATATGAGTTTAGATAAAGCAGCATAATTTATGGACAAGCAGGATGTACAAAATAATGGCCCCTGGGCTCAGAGAGTACATATGTCAGCTGTTGTTACTGAGGATGAGAAACAGGGTTTATCAGACCTGCAGCAAGCACAAAACGACTTTGTTTTGTAGAAATAACACACATTACAAACTAATTATATAATGTAACTCAACTTAATTTGCAATAAAGTAAATAGTTAACTTTTTAACAAACACAAGTAACCATTGTGTGAATAAGCTGAAAATGTATCTTGTAAATTATTTTTCACTTCTGAAGTGTAGAGGAGAAGATAATTCCTGTGGAAACAGACTGTGACATCACCACATGCTTTAACTTTCAAGAAAAGCTCTTTGGAAATCAGTAGAAAGCATACATGTAGGTCTCAAATCATTTTAATGAAGAGGTCTTACCACAGTAGTCTTAGTCATGTGTAAAGATATGGAAAACAAATTAAAGTGTGGATTGATTATATTTGCATGAAAATGTAAGAATTTTATTAACAGTCCTTCTTCTTTCTTGCTGCTTTCATACCCAGGGTCAGCGTAATTACGGAGAGAAAACAAAACCAAGAATTCATTCAGAAAAAAAATCCTGGTGTAATACCCACATGTTTCATTTTCTAACAGTATTTCATGATTACTGAATAATTAATAGTGGGCATAGGTTCTAAGAGGTATCACCAGGCCCTGACCTTTCCATTGTTCTGAGATGCAGCGAAAGTAATGTGGTTTTTCAGTCAGCAAGACTAGGATGTCCAGAGGCTGCTCCAGGCAATCTGCCACCCTAGACAACACTACAATGTGCTGCCTCCGCCATGCCACTCAAATTTGGTCTGGCTGCCCCTCTATCATGATGGAGGGGTGGCTGGGCCAAATCTGCCACCCTAGGCAGCTGCCTAGCTTGCCTATCGTGAGAGTGGCCTTTGAGTACGTGGATAGACCTGCTGCTCTCTGGACCCAGCAGCAATTGTCCTTGTGGATTAGGGACACTGGAATTATAAGTGCTGAGTGGCTCTGGTGCTTCTTTGTGACCCCGGGGAAGGATTCTACTGAATTTTACTCCTGAGAGCATTCTGCGCAAAAAAACAAAAAACAAATTCTGCACACAATATTTTAAAATTCTGCAAATTCCTGCCAATTTTATTTGTCAAATAAATGTGGACGTTCCAGCATGGCATTGGGGAGCACAGGCCACTGGCTGCACAGAGGTGGGAGATCACTGTGCAGCCCCCCCAGCTCCCCTCGGGCACGGACTCAGTGGTGAGGCTGCACCCATCCCTGACACAGCTCAGGGACCAGGCCTGCCCCAGAAACACCCCAGGCCCCTGCTCCTCCGTGCCAGTTGAACCCCAGGTGGGCCAGGTAGGGTCAGCAAGACAGGATCCAAGTGTGGAGGGGCTCGGTGTGGGGGGATCCACGTGTGGGTTGAGAGTGTTCTGTGTGGGGCAATCTGGGTGTGGGCAGCTCAGTTGGGGATCCAAGTGGAGGGGGGGTCTGGGTGAACAGGGGCTTGTTGGGTGGGTTCTGGGTGCAACGGTAATGGGACTCTGCAGGGGGGTCCAGGTGAAGGTGGTCTGGGCTCAGCCTGGGGGGGGTCTTGGTGTGGGGCGGATAGAGCTCGGTAGGGGGGTCTGGGTGTGGGGGGGTCAGTGGGGGTTCCAGATGCTGGTGGAGTGGTGCCCAGTGGGGTGGGGAACCAGGTGCATCTGGTTGGCACTTGGTGGGATGGGGATCTGGGTGTGGGTGGCTCGTCAGGGTGGTCCAGATGCAGGAGGAGTGGGGCTCATCAGGGTGGGGGGGGGCTCTGATTGCGGGGGGGGGTGAGGCTTCATGAGGCATGCGGGGGTCTAGATGCACAGGGGTTGGGTGGATGGGGGAGCAGCTCCCTATACAAGGATCCCTCCCCCTGCAGCTGACGAGCGATGGACTTAGGAAACAAGTGTGTGGGGGGAATTTGCAGAGCTTCCTGCAGCCGGGGAAGAAATCTGGGAGTGGGTCTGACCTAACCTCGGATGCCATGCAGGGAAAGAGGAAGTCCCGTGCTCCCCAGCCAAACTGGGACTACCAGCTGATCCTGGCACAGGGTAGGAGCCACTGCCCAGGTCTTCCTTAGTGCCGCCTCCTGCCCCACAGTAATTTACCTCTCTGCCGGCTGCCTGGGCACCTGAAACATAGTGCTGTGGAGAGTCACATGACCGCTCTTGTGGCTTCCCTTTGCTTCCCCGTCAGAAAGTCATTCTTCTGCAGGGAAGCAAAGAAATCTGCAGGGACATAAATTCTGCGCATGTGCAGTGGTGCAGAATCCCCCCAGAAGTAGAATTTGCAAGCTTCTGAAAGTTGTTACATAGCCTATTCTGGCTTGTCTGGAAAATTAAACTACTGTTTGCCTTTCTTGCACGGCTAACAACTTGACTGTAACTGAAAAACTTAGATCCAATTTCATGGCTTCCGAGTCATCACAGACCTCCGATCAGACTGCACATTTGAACAAGTTCTACCTCAGACCTTCTTTGCTGTCTTCTTCTCCCAAAGCATTAGTTGTGTAGCTGACACACAGTAGGCCCATATTTTCCCATCTCGGACTGGCGGTTAATTACTACTGTTCTTTTCTGCCACTCTTCCTTCAGCCTCTTCTTTCCTCTGATTGGTAGCTCAGTGCTGCTGTGCTTGATGTCACTCAGGGTTTGTTTACACTGCAGTAAAATAGGAAGAACCAAGGTGTTAAATAACCTTATTTTAAAAATGGTCAGAAGTTTCAGGAGTTCTCTTCAAGCAGGATAATCGTGGAGGGCCAATAATAGTTGAAGAAGGATAGAGTACAACTATTTTTTTTTCAATTTCCTAGACACATCAAAGACAAATAATTACTTTAGCTTTTACATTTATCCTGAAGAGCACGCTACCTTTTCTCTTGACAGAGTTAATATGTATTTTTAACAAAATGTTTACAGTTAGAGGATTATGGAACAGATCAGAAGATAAGATAAATGTGTCATGCTTCTGAAATTTAACCCTGTGCTTTTTATATTGCAGGAATAGAATCTTATTGTGATGTGTATATACTGTAAGAACAGGGAAGTTTTCAGAGATCTCCACTTATTTTCTTGTCTAAATAAATTAAACAAAGTTCATACTGTTATCTTACTCCCCATCACTGAATTATTAATTTTAATTATTCTCTGTGAATGTGAATAAATGTCATCTGTCAACCAGTTAGAAATGCAAATAAATAGTGATTGCAATCTTTGCAAATACAGCTTGCAGAATTGAACGGAGAAGCTGAGAAGTTGACCTAGGTGACTTTATTCTATAGGGAACAATTATAATGCCGAGGTCACCTAAAATTGCTTGTTTCACCGATTAGTAGTACCCATGTGCTTAATTTTATGCACTGGGAACAGTTCCATTGATTCCAGTTGGACTGTTTAGTGTGTGATGCACAGTACATAGCAAGTTTTTTGCAGGATACAGGCCTAGCTCTTCCTAGCTGCAGATGCTCCTAGCCCATTGGACAGTAGTTCTTATGTAAGCAAGCCCATAGCAGACATCAGTTTCTATAAGCTTTGTTCATGAAAATCAAAGTAGTTTTGATAGCTAATAGAATTAACTGCACTAATTCATATACTTCATCTAATGTATCCTATGCCTAAAATCTTAGATATTCACAAAAGTGGGTAGTTTTGAAGTCTGACTGTTGAGACTAGAGAGATCAATAAAAAGTTAGTCTACAATCCGTAGGCCCTAGGGAAACATACACTTCTGGGATCCTGCCTTATAATCTGAATAACAACCACCACCTCCGGTTCCTTTTTTTATTCTTTGCTGGTCCCAAAAGAGGCATTGTTTGCTATAATAGTCAGAAAATGATGGGAAATGCAAGCATAAATGGGGGGAGGACACAGAGGAGGAGAGATGGAAGGAAGGGAAAAATACACTTCACTGATGTTCCCTCCCATACATGCCACTGCAGTAAATTCCCATCCCAGACTGTACACTTACTACTGTTGGAGAAGGAAGTGGCTTCTTTACCCAGTGCTACCCTCCTCTCCTTTACTATGTTGGGAATGGAAAAGTGAGTCTCCGTTGCACGGTGGAAGGGTGAGGACTATCTCTTCCCACTCATTCACTGGTGCAGATGTGTGCGTGAACTGAAAAAACTTCACTCACTTGAGTGAGTGGTGGCATTACCTAGCACATGGGGTCACAATACCCCTCAAGTGAAGTTCTTTCAATTCACGCACAAATCTGCATTGGCCAAAACAAAATGTTGGTCATTCTCCCCCTGCCCTCAAAATTGGGGTCCTACTAGGAACATGCCTAGTTTGCCGGTGAGTTGCTCTGGTCCTATCTACAAGGTCTAATTTATCAAATGAGTCATTTAAATGGTTTAGAACACTGAAAATATTGAATTTTTTTCAACATTTTCCCCAGAATTAAATCTTACCTAGACCTCTGCTGTAAAATTGGTACAGGAATTATTTCATCTTCATAGAAACCAAACAAAATGTAAATGGAAGTGGAAATATCAACTCAGCCCTATAGCTTCTATTGAGCAGCTACCAGTACATACATAATATCGATATAAAAAAGTTTATAAGTGGGAATCAGTTGTTTTTTCTAATACTGTACTTTATTTCTGTTTAACATGCTAACAGCTATTCAAAGGTTGCAGCAATATGTGGAATTGTGTTAGTAACTGAGTCAATGCTTCACTGTGTAATATAAGCTACTAGGATTCCTACAGCATAGCATATGGTGTACCAATGTTCTTTTTTTAAATTGACAGGTCCATGTAAATCCTTGTTTTTATCAATCACCCGAGAATAGCCATCTATTACCATTGGAAACAGATGAATGGCACTCTTTGAGCCCAGGTGACAGCTTTTCCCTGTTAATAGACAAATACATTTTCAAGGTCCTCTCTACACACTCAGATGTGGAAAGCACACTAAGGTAACGCTATCCGATGTGGAAAAACCTATAGTAATACTATTTGTAATATAAACTTGTTAATTATAGTTTTCTAAGGCACAACAGACCTTGAATGAACAAAAAATAAATCCAAATAAACATCTGCTTAAAGTCAAGTTTAAATTATTGTATCTCTTCCTTAAGAACATAGAGGGAAAGCATGAAGTAACTAGATCAATTCATATCCGATATACACTGCAATCCCAATCCTGGAGCCCCAGTGAGTGGTTTATTGTAGTATCTGGCGGGGAGGTTGTGGGGAATGAGAAACATGTACCTGCTTTATCATTCTTACCTATCAATATTTTAATAAATAGAATCAAAAGTGCTTTTGTATCTCACGGGTGAGATTTTCAAAGGCATGGCACCCAACTCCCATTGAAAACTTGTGTTTTAGAAATTGTGGGGGAAACGGAACTTTACTTAAATAGGTAGTATAATGTTTAATGTAATTTTAATTTAAAAAATAAGCTTTGGTTAGCAACCAATAAAAGGATTCTACTTCCATACATCCTGATCTCATAAGTAGGAATCTTGTTTTTAAAACATTTTAGATGCAACCCTTTAGATCTAACTTTTTTTCTGGTAAGTGAGTTACCAAAATATTTATTGCTGGAGGAGCAGAAAAATGACCACGAACACCACTCTCAGGGGACAACCGATTTTGAAAGACTGAAACAATTACATTGCTGATAGACACTGTACTTCAGATAGTTCCTATAGTAACCAAAAACTACTGCATACCTTAAATTTTCAATTCACTGTGTGTTTTCTTTGATACTACATACTTTCCTAGTTGTGAAGAGGAGAGAGCTAGTAGACGGGCAAATGTTAAAGTACAGTTGAAGATCCTGAATCATTTTTTAAACTCTTAGAAATTTTTAAACTTTAGAATTTTTTTTAAAATGCACTGACTTCTAGTTTTCCCAAGGGCATTATGGTTGTCCACAAGCCTCAGTGGAACAACCAAGAAGATTTCTATTTTTGTTAAAAAGCAAAAACCTATGTAAAGATTGAAAAACATAAATAGATGAGTGTCAAATTTCAGCCTAGTGCAAATGTTTATCAATTACTTGCTATTTTATGACAAAACAATGTATGTTGAATTATACAAGTATGTAAGTAGAAGTTAGACCTATGTGCAAGTACCGTGCTGAATTAGGCCCCAAATGAAGAAGTGCATTTAATCTATTATATATAGTTTTGTTTACTATTTCTAATTTGTAAAGCAACAACAATCTGTACTCTCTACTTGGAAATAAGCTAGTATAACAGAATGAAAAATGAGCTACTGCTACAGAGAATGGAAAATGAATGTTTGTTTGAGATATGAAAGCTGGGAATGAAAGTTTGCTTTTCTATCTGTTCTATTTTAGGATTTTATGCTGCTGATTACTACTGTAATATTTGTATCTTTTAGAATTTGAATAACACACTTCAAAAACTGTATTCATTTTATGGTAAAAATGATCATTTTCAATAACGCAGTGGTAGTATTGTAAGTTAACTGCTCCTACAGTTAAATGAAGGCAGAAACCAGTTTATTTTATGGTCAATAATGCAAATCTGGTTTCACCTTGTCATATTGGGGTTTTGTATGGTCTTACTCTTAACCTTGGATCTTAAGCGGTGCTGACTGATGATTTGGTTGCTTTTAGGCAACCATGTAGTTTGTTCCCTAGATACATCGTAGTAAAAAATTGCCAACAGACTTAAGAGAGAGTTATTCTAGCACCATTAATATGTATGGTAGATGCAATACAGCAGAGGTTTTTTGTTGGTCTCTTAATATCTGAAACTGAGGTTTGCTTCTACATTATGACATTTGAGTGAAAATAGACATTTAGAGCGGAAATAAACTTGTGTTCAGTTCAAATAGATAAAGGAAGTTTTTGAGATTTTTTTTTCCCACTAAAAGATGCATTTTAATATACTATAGGAAAAATAGCAAGATTGCTGCAGATGAAACAGCAAATAAATCCTCTTCAAGTGGTCATCCTATCAAGATGTCTTGTGATCCATCTTTAGGAGAATTAACTTCATGTTCCAATGACAACATACAAGTGAAAGCACATTCTCTATTGGAAAGGACAGCAGAAATTCCAAAAAATGAGACTTCTTCCAAGAGTTCGGTGGGTGTTAATATCTGATTAAATATTGCAACATGTCTGTATTTTTGGAAGGGTGGGCTGAAAATCGGGTAAAATGAAAATTGTTTTTGTCTTGTCTCTGTACCTTTTTAAAGCCCTTCATGGTGGAGTAGGTTCTTTGACAAATCGAGGCTGTTTGAGAATACATTATCTTGATTTTATTTACTATAATAGAATTTCCAAAAAAATTGTGGCTGTCACAAAAGCCTTAAGCTGACGTTCCTGAGCTTTTTCTTATACTTGCAGCACTATAAACAGGTGCAAAGCAGTAAAAGATTTCTTCAGAACAAAGAATGGCTTTGTTAGTGAGTGATATCAGAAATAAAATTTGTATTTTGTGGGAGAAACAAGTGTTGAGTTCTGCTTATGTCCTTACAAAACCTGTTGTGTTCCAAAGCAGTGTGATATACTGGAAAAAAATGTAAGGTCAGGGCTCTGACTATAAACAGGGAAATGCCCCAAAAGCCATTGCTTAGGGGAATGTACAACACAACACAGTGCTTGTACCCTGCTGAAAAGCCTCTGAAGTTCACACTCCTCATGTGCACTGCATCTAGAACCGTGGACACACAGTTCTGGGGCTAGGTCAGGGAATAAGATCCACATGTCCTGTTCACACAGCTTCTTCCACTTGGTTACAGCTCTGGAGTTGTGTGTTCAGGGTCAGACAGAATACAGAAAAAAGGTTCATATTACCCTGCTTTTGTAGTGTTAATGTTTCCTTATGTTTGTGGTAAAGAGGCTTAGAGCCAGAATTTGCAAACAACAGAATTTTCAAACCTCTGTCTTATCTTACTGTGGCTGAGTAAAATGGCTTTCAGATAGTGTAATTATTGAGATGCCAATTTTATTTTATTTTTACTACTGTTGCTTTTCTAATGGAGAAAACAATGCCATGCAAAGACAGACACGCAGGACAATTGCTCTTTGATAACATACTATAGCTGATATTTTTCTTTCTAAGTACAATTGAAATGCCAGCCTTCATCACACTTACAAGACTTCCAAAATATATTTTATCCCTTCTTAAAAGCAGAGTCTGTATATTTTTCTTGTTTCTCTAGCCCAGTTCTGGAGTCTTTGTTTCTGAGCATAACTTAGCAGGGAGTGAAATAGCCACTTGAAAAATGCTGAACTTTTTTGCATCTCCCATTCTGCATAGTAATTCAGTGTTCCTTACTCTCACTGTCTTCAGGCTTTCTGATGCTTCAGTGGGCACAAGCCATGTGGCATCAGTGGCAAGGTATCAGTGAGATCTTTTATAAACCTTTGGGTCTGTAAATGAACATAGGCTTTCTTCCGAGGGTTAAGGAGTAAAGAGAGGCTTCTTTAAATACTGATTGGCTGAGAGAGTAGGCGGTGCCAAAATGTTCAGCATTATGACTGGCTTTTGCTTCTGTTAGGCTGTACCTACAAGAAAACCAGATCCATTCAGGCTGTTCATGAAGACAAAGCTGCTTACAAATGTCTTTTGAACCAAGTCCTTTTTTCATAGTTTCTGTATCCTAAAACTAGAAAAAAAAAAGTACTGTGGTACTAATCAACAAACATTATTTCAGTTGTTTTCTGCTAGTTGTAATGAAAGTGAGGAGCTAAAGCCTGTCTGGAGGAAAAGAATGCTTCCATCTTGGATGTTGCAAGGAGACCTCATCGTTCAAAGTCTTTCAGCTCCAGTCCCTAAAAGAGGTAGGTTAGTAATGAATACAAAGTACTTCCCTTATGACAATATGCATATTCTCTTGCTTTGATCTCTTCTGACCATCAATATGGTAAAGTGGGGGTATAAACTGATTATTTTTCCTCCATGGAATCCTCTTTACATTCCTCTTTATAGTTTGACAGATGACTGAACATATTCGCTTCTATTGCTTCCCTTGTCTCACATGTTATGGTCTCTGGTGTTTGCAGCATGCATCCAAAGAGAGGGTGAGCTAACAATAACCTGATGTTTTAGCACTTTTATTCTGACCTGTAAGCCTGACACAGAGGGCACATTTGCCTTCCTAAAAGCTTGTTGACAATTTCTTTCTTTTATATGTTTGGTTTTGTTAATGTTTTTTCTTGATAGATTACACCTTGATGACAAATTTACCTGTGTAACAATACTGATTAGTTTTATAGTGCCTGTTGTTCCAAAAAAACGTGTCTTGAAGTTTTTTTCCCAAATTTCAGCAGCATCAGCAATACTGCAGCAATCTTTCTGCAATTTGTCCAAGGCTATGGAAATAGGTTTCAGTGTATTTAGCACATCTTCTACATTTCTCTTTAGTTTGTTGTTGTCTACTTGTTCTCTAGTATACAGAATGGGCAAGGTAATATCTTTTATTGAACCAACTTCTGAGCTACACACCTTGTCTCCCTAATATCCTAGGACCAACACGGTTACAACAACTCTGCAATTTACCAGTATAGGAAGACATGGTAGGCAGCCCATAAGAATGGTGCAAAAATGAGTTCACTATCCAGTTCATCCAGATTGTTCAGACATGTCCACAGCATCATCTTCAAAGTCATTGCCTTCTGAGAAGCATGTTTCATAATATTTCATTCTGAGAACCAGACCTTGCATCTCTTTGCTGCACTGTTTATATTTGGCACATGTTCCTTTTTTTTAACCCTGAGGTACAGGGATTTGTTGAAGAGATTCCCGAATGGGGTCTTTTTTTTATGACTTGCAGCCAGTGCTGGTTTTTCCCCCGCCAGTTCCCAGATGTTGAAATCAACACAGGCTGCACTCTGAAGAATGTTGTCCCTTCTTCCCACAGTGTCCTTCACTCTGACACCAGCGTTGCTTCTTTCTGGTTGCACACATTGCTCCTTCTCTCTTGTTACATAACTCCCCTGTTTGTTTGTATCTCCGTCTGTGTACGCATGCAGGGAGCTACAGGAAGGTCATTAATTTGAAGTGCCTTGAAGCAAGGGCTGGTAGTTAGTGGGCAGATCAGTGTTTTTCCACGAGCTAGAGATAAGTTTTCATGGTTGGTGGAGTCATAAATATTCAGAATTTGAGAACTGAGCCACGCAGAGCTCAGATTGGGAGAAGAGTATGAGACCTTGCAGATGGGCTCAGTGGATGATCCTGATGAGATGCATGATAACGTCTCCTGGCATCAGAAGCCAGGTCCCAATGCCTGGGATAAGTTTGCCAGCCCCTGCATCCCCCACAAGTTCAAGCCCAAGTACATGACTTATTGTGCCATATTTATGAACTTTGACGTCAAAAGTTAGATGCTTTCCCACTTATTCTTTCTTTATATAGAAAAGCAGTTTTTAACTCAAAGTTTTTGATAGAGGTTCATGCATATTGCATATTGATAGAGGCTTCAGCATATTTGTTTTTTATTTAAAAGTTTTAGGAGATTATAATAAGTTGGGTCTTACCATAAAATTCAGATTTCATTTTAAACAGCTTTATTTTTAAAATGAAAAACTTATAATTTAAATAAAAAAAAAAAAAAAATCAGATTTCAATTTAAAAAAAGACCACTTTTTTCCCCCCCAAAAATCATCAATTTTTATCCATCCTGGGTGAGAGGTAGCAATGCAAGTCCATCTGTACGGTGGATGAGACTACTAGGGTAGCTTCTTCCTAGAGTTGTTACTACTTGCTACCCTCACAAGAATCTGGGATTTGCTTGAAGGAGCAAGGAAGGCTGTTCATCAGAGACAGGAGTTCAGAATAGTACTTTTGCCAATATATTAGTTCCAATTTTTGAAGTACAAACTTCTTTGGAAAATGAAAATATTGTAAATTCTTTTTTTTGTGAAGACTATCATTATTTTACAGTTAGTCATGGTAACTTACCATTGTTTTGATGTTTGTAAATAGAAGTTACTGGAGAGATTCACAACTATGATGGTGAATGACACTTAGGTGCTGATTACCTCATTTAAAATTGTTCAGTCATCCACCCCATCCGATCATATAAAAGCCTCTAGAATTTTTCACGGGTAATGTTAAATACTGCCACTTTCCTATAAATGGATAGTAACAAAACCATTCCATATTCGTCATGTATTGTCCTATTTATGATTCAGATATGAGTATTAATATCATTTAGTATCTCTGAGGGGGAAGCATATTAAAATGTGGTCTGTTAGTTTAATTCAATATGACACAGGGTACAGATTCAGTCTATTGATATTTGACAAGGAAAAGGATGAAGCTGTCATTGACTTCAGCGTTAAAAAAATTTAACACGTAGGCTTCTGGTGTACTGGGACCACTGCCTATCAAACTGACCAATATGGTCTCACCGTTTCTTTGTGCTCCCTCTCTGTATTGATCTGTCCTCTGTCTTCTACTTAGATTGTAAGCTCTTTGGGGCAGGGGCTGTCTTTTTGTTCTGTTTGTACAGTGCTAGCACAGTGGGGTCTTGGTGTGTGACTGGGGCTCCTAGGTGATACGGTAATACAAATAATAAATGAATCTGACTTTAAAATGCTAACAACAATCCAGGGAAAGAGGTTGTTTGGGTGCTGATTGCTGAGAATTTTCCTCTTTAGTGGTTTGTATGCATAAACTGAGTGGTGTTCTTTGAGTAGTGTTCCTGTGGGTGCTCCACTCTAGGTTTATTCACGCCCCTGCACCTCAGTTCCGAGATTTTTAGGTAGCAGTGTCTGCTCGGTCCACAAATGTGCTCTCTCCATCTCATGCTCTGGTGGGCCACGAGACAGTTTGTTTACATTGACCGTCCGCAGGCATGGCCGCCCGCAGCTCCCAGTGGCCGTGGTTTGCCGTTCCCGGCCAATGGGAGCTGCGGGAAGTGGCATGGGCCACAGAGACGTGCTGGCTGCTGCTTCCCGCAGCTCCCATTGGCAAGGAACGGTGAGCTGCGGCCACTGGGAGCTGCGAGCGGCCGTGCCTGCAGACGGTCAGTGTAACAAACTGTCTGTGGCCCACCAGCGGATTACCCTGACGGGCCGCTGGTTACCCACCACTGCCTTATGGCAAAGTACAATCATACCGACTACTCTAAGTTAAATGCCTTCATCAGACATCTCCCAACTGATCAAAGAGAACACTTTCCGGCACTCATTGCTGAGGGTCAGCTCCTCGTGAGGACATTGTTGCAGGCCTCTCTGGATGCTATTGATACAGCTGCTTGCTCCATCTCAGCAACAGTGGTTATGTGGAGAGCTCCATGGCTTCACCTTTCTCTCTTTCCAAAGGAGGTACAATCCACAGTGGAAGCCCTCCCATTCGAGGGATCCAAATTATTTGCAGAAAGAACAGGCGAATCCCTCCACACATTAAGACTCTAGAGCAATGTTGCATTCCCTGGTAATTTACACACCTTCACAAAAAAGGAGATACAGTAAATCCCAGATGGCACAGAGATCCCGGCCAGCTCAATTTCCTCCTTCCCAGTGGCATTATGAACCCTAATGGAAATGACAAAGACTACAAAAACGGAAACTAGCTGCTCTACAATCATCAACATCACAGCCATCAACATCTGAACACCAATGTTGATCGGTTGGTCGAGGCCCCGAGTTACCACTGCCACTTTTATGTGCTGCAACAATCAACATCTGCATTCATTTGGTGACCACCTTATTCTTTCATAAAAACTGGGAGCACATAATCACAGACAAGTGGGTATTGGAAATCATCTCCCTGGGATATTCAGTCCACTTTTACCTCCCTCTCCCCTGCCCACCCCCGCCTGTTCCTCTTTGGGGACCCTGCCCATGAGCACCTTTTATGTCAGGAAACAAACTATCTTCTGGACCTAGGTGCTATAGAACCAGATATTAGACTTTAAGATTGTGACCTAGAGCCAGTTGAAAAAATTCCCTTTTTATTTCCATGAAGATTTTAAATGAAACATTTTTTGTTCATTTTTTCCAAAAATATTTAGATTTTTTTTTCAATGATTCAATATAAAATGAATTTGAAATTTTTCATTTATCTTCCATTCTCCAAAAAACCCACCTTTTCTCTTTCTCTCATTTACTTCCTCCCCCCGTTTTTCCTAGCTTGCTCCACTTGCTGCCCTGTTCCCACGTTGTGCGCTGGTGCATCAGGAGTGGGACTATAGCCCTGGCTTCCTCTCTTCCTCTTCCCTCTCTCCTTTAGGGCACTGTATACCCCAGAAGTAGTAGACACGCAGTGGGAGGGACTGTAGATTTTGCCTGGTTTGTGCAGGCTGCAAGAGGAGCAGGGGATTCTCTATTCACTTTCCCATTCACTGCTGCCTGGTGTAATGGCTAAGCAGAAAGTGTCTCTCAAATAACTCCTATAAATAGGCCTACCAAATTCACGGCCATGAAAAACGCATTATGGACTGTGAAATCTGGTCTCCCCTAGTGAAATCTGGTCTTTTGTGTGCTTTTCCCCTATACTATACAGATTTCATGGGGGAGACCAGCGTTTCTCAAATTGGGGGTCCTGACCCAAAAGGGAGTTATGGGGGGGGGGTCACAAGGTTATTTTAGGGGGTCATGGTATTGCCACCCTTACTTCTGCGCTGCCTTCAGAGCTGGGTAGCCGGAGAGTGGCAGCAGCTGGCCAGGTGCCCAGTTCTGAAGGCAGCTTCCCACCAGCAGCAGCACAGAAGTCAGTGACAATACCATGCTATGTCACCCTTACTTCTGTGCTGCGGCCTTCAGAAGCCGGAGGGTGGCGACTGCTGACCGAGGGCCCAGCTTTGCAGGCAACACCACAGAAGTAAGGATGGCAGTACCATACCATGTCATCCTTATTTCTGAACTGCTGCTGACGGCAGCTCTGCCTTCGGAGCTGGGCTCCCTGCCAGCAACCCCTGCTCTCCATCTGCCCAGCTCTGAGGGCAGTGCTGCCATGAGCAGCAGTGCAGAAGTAAGGGTAGCAGTACCGCATTCCCCTACAATAACCTTGCGACTCCCCACAACTCCTTTTTGGGTCAGGACCCCTACAATTACAACACTGAAATTTCAGATTTAAATAGCTGAAATCATTAAATTTACAATTTTTATTATCCTATGACTGTGAAATTGACCAAAATGGACAGTGAATTTGGTAGGGCCCTAACTATAAAGCAGTATATTTAGCAGAATCAGGTTTACTATAGTAACTTGCTTGTGTAAACTTTAATGGTCTGCAACGTTTCATGATACTCTTGTGTGAAAGATACTACATAAAAGACACATTGTACAAGCCATTTACCTGACTATTTTACCATTACATAGTTAATAAGCTACAATATCAGCCAAATAAGAGAGTCCAGTATGTCCTCTGCCATGCATTGAATCTCTCTCCCTTAATCATTCTTATGAAGCCCCCTTCTCAAATCATCTATTCATAGCGGTTAATTTTGTATATTCAAATTTAACAGGGAGAACAGCAAGTAAAGACTACTGTATTCAATTGAAACTGCAGCGGAAGTATAGATAGTCAGTATGTAACTACCTGACTTGGCCAAGATAACTCAGCTCAACACCCCTTATCTTAGGAAAACTGTTGATTCTTAATATGGTCAGGATTTGTCATCTTAGAATCAGAGAATCATAGAACCGTAGATTTAGAAGGGATCATAAGAGTCATTTAGTCTACCCCACTGCCAAGATGCAGGATTTGTTGTGTCTAAACCATCCAAGGCCGATGGCTACCAAGCCTCTTTTTGAAAACCTCCAGTGAAGGAGCTTCCATGACCACCCAAGGCTGTCTGTTCCATTGTCCTACTTATTACAGTTAGGAAGGTTTTCCTGAGATTTAATCTAAATCTGCTGTGCTGTAGTTTGAACCCATTGCCTCTTGTCCTGCCCTCTGTGGCAAGAGAAAACAACTTTTCTCCATCCTTTTTATGGCAGCCTTTCAAGTATCTGAAGACCGCTATCATATCTCTCCCCACCCCCTTATTCTCCTCTTTTCCAAACTAAACATACCCAGTTCCTTCAGCCCTTGTTCGTATGGCTTGCATTCCATCACTTTGATCATCTTTGTCGCTCACTCCTTTCCAGTTTCTCTACATCCTTTCTATATGTTGGTGACCAAAACTGGACACAGTACTCCAGCTGAGGCGTAACCAGCGCAGAACAGAGTGGCACTATCACCTCCTGTGACTTGCATGTTATACTTCTGTTAATGCAACCAAACATTGCATTTGCTTTTTTTTTGTTGGAACAGCGTCGGATTGGTGACTTATGTTGAGGATGTGATCCACCACAGCTCCCAGATTCTTCTCAGCTGTCCTGCTGCTAAGCCAGTTTCCCCCCAATCTGTATTTGTGCATTTGGTTTTTCTTCCCTAAGTGTAGCACCTTACATTTGTCTTTGTTGAATTTCATTTTTTCTATAGCCCAGTTCTCCAATTTATCAAGATAACTTTGAATTTTAGCTCTATCCTCCAAAGTGTTTGCAAGCCCCAGGTTTGTGTCATCTGCAAATCAGATCAGTTTGCTCTCCATTCCTACATCCAGGTCATTAATAAAGATGTTAAACAACACCAAACCCTGAACAGATCCCTGTAGAACCCCACTTGCGACCTCCCTCCAATCTGACATCATTCCATTAATAGTTACTCTTTGTTCGTGGTTGTTTAATCAATTATGTATCTACTTAATGGTGGTACTGCTGAGCCTGCATTTCTCCAGCTGACTTATCAGAATGTCATGTGGGACTGTGTCAAAGCCTTGCTGAAGTCCAGGTATATTATGTCCACTGCATTTCCCCCTATCCACCAAAACAGTTATTGTATCAAAGAAGGAAATCAAGCTGGTTTGGTATGATTTGTTCTTAGTAAATCCATGGTGGCTGCTAGTGATTACCCCTTCATCATCCAGGTATTTTCAAATTGAATGTTTTATACATTGGTCTAGTAGCTTCCCAGATATTGAAGTCAGGCTGACTAGTCTATAGTTTCCCAGCTCCTTTTCCCCCCTTTTTACGTTAACCTTTCTCCAGTCTTCTGGGATGTCTCCTGAGGTCTTGAAGGTTGCATTCAAGGTTGGATCCCATAAATGTCCTCTTTTTCTTTTTCTTTAAGGTGGTGGAGTAACAAGAGGCAGAGGGAGAGGAAAAAGCGATATGGAACCATCAAAGTCAAGAGCAAATGTGCAGGGGAGAAAACGGTTAGCTTCTGAAGAGCATTTAGGGGATTTCAAAGAGATGGCACAGGATCAGGGAAAAAAGAGCAAAACTACTGAAGAGGAAGCTACTGTCCCCCCATCACGGGTAATGTTTTTTGTATGTTGATGAGCCCCATTATTTCAAGTATTATTGAAGTGCAGTTAGCAATGTTAGAGCTTTAAAATTGGTTCATCTCTTGCATTATAACTATCTTCAGCTTTTTATCTCATGATAAAATGTTTATTCCAGATAAAACTTGCCTTCCCAGTGTTGTACAAACTAGAAACAGGAATTACTATGTTTAACGTAAAACAAGGAACCTAGGATATAAAGTACTGTTAAGGTTCTTCTATCAATAAGCTGCCACCCCTAGTGCTAACTGTGCTACCCGTATCTGTGTTTTGGGGTTCAAAAACTGAAATATACCATAGGACAATCTGAAGGCTTTTAAAAATTAGTGGTGATAATTTTGTAGTATTTTATGTTTTAATCACATTTACTAATGGCTGTTTTCCAACATATGTTAGAAGTTAACAGATTTTGGCTTGATGGTGTAGTTTTAGAAAAGATGAAAAAATCTCCATGTCTTTATTTTCTGTAATTTTTCCTCTTATTGATAGTTACATTTTTTCTGATACTTTTACCTTCTGTGAAATTGCTCAGGTTTTTGTGGTTTTTTTGTTTGTTTTATTTTATTTTTTGGTCGGTAGCACCATTTACAAGATTAGTTTAGGGAAGAGTGGAAGGGGATTTATTTTTAATAGCAGTGATTTATTGTAAGATACAGTTTTCTTGTCCTCATGTATGTTTTTGTGGGTTGTATGATCACCTGCTGAAATGTTATTTACCTCAGTCTGTAGTTCTAAGACTTCTTTATGGCTTCCGCTCCCACTATCATAAAAATTCCATAAATGTTCTCTAGCTCATAGAGGAGGCAGGATGTGGTCTCCATTATCTAATTTCTCCATTGCTTCGCATGCTGAATCCATTGCTGTGCAATCTGAGTAACTTAATATATTAGTGAGCACAAGAAGATCTCTGTATTTTTTCCCTTCCTCTATATTGTGTAAAGTTTTTGTTGTAGGGTATCTTGGTTTTTAGATTTTAATAAGTGATTTTAGTGGAGGGGCCGGTAGTGTGGGAAAGTTAGGTCAGGAAACTGGGCTTTACATTTTCTTTGGAAGGCACGCAGATTTGTGGTCATTCTGATCTCTTCCAGAAGTGAGTTCCACAGTTGTTGACTAGTTGCCAAGAAAGCTGTCTCTTGTCTACGGATCTCAATCTTCGGGTTGCCAGTTCCATTGTTTCAATGGAATTTATCTGTTGTGGGATGTCATGATCAGTGACTGGCCCCTAAGGTAACTTGGGCAAATTTAATAGGAATGCTTTAAAAATTAAGACAAAAATCTTGAATTTGACTTAGTGTTCAACAGGAAGCTAGTGAAGAAAACCGAGCATGGTGATCTGGGAGATGAGGGGAATGGACACCTCTGTTTTAGCCTCAGTGGCTATGTTTAATGAGTGGTCATAGTGTCATTTATTTCATGTCTTTTTTTGTGGGATGGAATTTCCTAAAAAGGAGTTCTGAGATTAGACTAAATCATGACTTTTTGTGAGCAGGGGCGGCTCTAGGCACCAGCAAAGCAAGCACGTGCTTGGGGCAGCCCATTTGCAGGGGCGGCAGGGATCCAGCATGGGAGCGGAGAACCAACAGAGGGCCCTGGGAGCGGTAGTTCCTTGGTTAGCTCCCTGCCTATAGAGCCAGCCCTGGAGCAGGGAAAGAACTACATTTCCCAGCATTCCCTTGGCCACTACCAACAGGAAAGAGGGCGTGGGAGTGAGGTAGCTGAGACCTCATGCTGCAGCTTGCTATGAATGGAGAGCTGCACTCTGAAGGGTAGGGATACCATATTTTAACATTAAAAAAACAGGACACTCCACGGGGAGGGAGGGTAGCCCCACCCTGCCACCATCCACCCCCTCCGACTG